CCCAAATTTTTAAGTTAGGATTCGACCAAAGAAATCCCAAGGAAGTTGCAAATGATATTAGGGGAGGTAGCATTTTTGGAAAAGAGAATGGAGCTCTTGTTGGGGGTTTATGTAGAGACCAGAAGAACTAGCAAAATGAGATAATGTTTTTCTTTTTCAATTCAGCATCAAAGGAAGGAGGGGCTACCCCAAAAACTAGTAGATCGTCCACATAAAGCAAATGATTCAAGTTTACTCCAACACGGTTGTTACTAAGAGAAGATAGAGGAGTATTTTAAAGAAGGCAACATGAAGGACCATCTATAACAATGCAGAAGGGAAGGAGAGATAAGGGACACTATCGAGAGAGGCCAGATGGAGAGCTAAAGAAACCTTCAAGGGTGCCATTTAAGCAAATAGAAAAATAAAATTCATAAATGCTACCATAAACCCATTTAATGAACTGTTTCGGAAATCATTTTTGTCTCATCCTGCTCTTTAGAAAATCACGGGACACTGAATCAAAGGCTTTCGGGATATCAAGTTTTTCACAAAATAGATTGTTAGAAGAAGAGAAATCTCTCAACACCTCAGAGGCCAAAAGAATGTTGTCAGTAGAACATCTGCTCTTAATAAAACTAGCTTGATTATCATAAATAATATAAGGCAACACAAATTTTAGTCTGTTGGCTACAACCTTAGCCATAAATTTATAAAACACATTGTAGAGGGATATTGGTCTGTAATTAGTAACATTAGTAGACAAGAAAGCCAAAGATGTGAATAATGGCCCAAGCTTTGACACCTTTTGGCAGGTAACCATAATGGTAAAAGCTCGTGACAACATTACACACCTGCAAGCCAATGATGTGCCAAGAATACTTATAAAAAGAAAAAGTGAATCCATCAGGTTAGGGGGTAGAATTACTTTGGCCATCAAACACTACAACCTTAATTTCATCATTTGAGAAAGATTCTAAGAGAGATGGAATTAAATTTGTAGGAATTGTATTCCCGAGAGGTTTGCTGAAGTCCAAAGCATTGGGTGGCTTGGGAGAGTTGTAAAGGCCTTTAAAATGATGTATGATTTCCACTGCAATGTCATTGAGAGAGGTGAAAAGACTCCATGGGGTGGAGATCTCTCTAATATGATTTACATTATTCCTAGCACAAATTTTTGCATATAAGAAACAAAAGCCCTCTTCCCCTCTTGAAAGCTAGAAATCTTTAACCCTTTGGGAAATCTAGGAGGCCCTGTAAATGTTCCTTGATAGTCTTTAGGCTAAAATTTAAATGAGGATCCAAAGGAGACCTTTGGAGCTCAGAGGGGCAAGAGTGATGCATACTTTTTAATTCCAAGATGGAATTAATAAGATAATTTGATGAATCCAAAGATTTCCTATGCCTTTAATTTCAATATCCATGAAATGAAACAATAACTTCTCAATGATTGATTATTATCTAAAATAAATTTCTATGGAGATAAATATTTCTAAAAAATTAATTCAGAAAATTATGACAAAATTTTTTATTAGGATATATTAAATGATTAATTGTTGAAATTAGTATAACACAAATTCTATAATGAAACCATATTTAAAACTGAACTCAATAGTTTTAAAGCTCATTTTAATTAAAAGTTTTTCAAAATGTTTTGACATTCATTATTGACTGCAAGTGGTTGATTAGGAGTAATGTTCAGCGGGGGTTGTGATTGTGTGCAACAGTTGGTAACATTTGAAGCTACAACTGAGAGGTGAAGCGACACAAGCACATTGTGTTTGAAATCCACCCAATTTGAACATATTTTAAATACATTATAAATAAATTAAATCACGCATTTCAAATACATCAATAAATTATATTGTAGTTGTTTTATCATATGAAACAAAAAATATTTTTAAAATTCTTCTCTTTTTCTAGCAAATCAAATAAACAATAAATCATATTTATTAAAATTCAAAATCTCCATTTACTTAGGTTATTATAGAAGGTAATTTCCTTATGACATATACCAAACACCCAATGAGGATTGGCTGGCAAGAATAAGTAGCATTTATTCTTTTTAGGTTGTTATAATTTTAAATAAGTTTATCTCATTCATTAAATTAAAATTAAATAATTAGAACAAGTAATTTTACCTTATAATACCAATCATCTATCATCTATTCTATTGGAGAAGGATTGAGACACTTTTAGGGTGGGTAATAGAGAGAGCATTATATATCTTAGACTTCTTTTTGGAAATATTACTAGGGTTTTCTCCTGAGATAGTTTTCTTCCTAAATCTCTCTGGTACATTCTAGTCTTCTTTTCTGTTGATCATTCTCCTAACCTAATCAAGACCATATAGCCCTACAATTCTATGGACTTTAACATGGACCCAACTGTCTGGCAATACCTCTTTTGATGCTGAGCAACCTATCCTATAATTTGGCTTATAAGGAATAACATACCTCCACACATCTTATTTTTCTTTGTCTACTACCTGCACTTTCTTTTTTCTATTAGAAGGAAAGTTAGTTATTTTTTCTAAAGTTGGTGCTAGTTTAAGTGGGATGATATAGAGTATATAAGGAGAAAAACTGCATGGAAAAGAAATAGAGAACAATGCTAATGTCTAGAATCCTTTCTTTGTTTTGTTTTTGTTGCATAATTTATATCTAGACTGGTATTATAGTAGAACTTGAGGGAAGAATGGCCGATTGCAGAAAGAGACGGGCTATCAAAGATGATCAAAGCCTGGAAGCGCAATGGACAGCCCAATTATTGTTATCATAGTAGCTTTGATAAATATAAGATGATCTTATATACTTCTCTATGTAAATACACTATGAACTACAAGCTCTTAAAATTGGAGGCCATCATGTTAATCGTGTGGTTGAAACAGAAACCCGTCTGACCACCAAATAGGGTAGTATTTTGGAACGAGTAGCTCATTAGATCTAATAAGATAAAAATTATTAATTCTGAATTGTCTATATTATGATATTTTTATTTTAATCTTTATATTTAATGTTGATACATGTAAAAAAATTATGAAAATTGAACCAGCTCTATAACACCATAGTGCCAAAGCTCATTCTAGAGCTATAGTGCCACATCTTCAGTGCACAATCATAGGGCGCGTAGAATATCAATTTAAGAGCTTAGATCTAAGGCACTATCTTTGAAGAGCTATAGTTCCAGATCTAGTACTACAGAGCCAAATCACCCAGCACTGTGAGAGGAGTCAGTTGAACCAATAAATTGAAACGATTAATGGTGAACCGATGTGTTGAATCAATAGCGTCGTAGCACCACTAAGCCAGCGCTCCAGCGTTAGTTTAATTAATTTGAAAAAATTATAAATAGTAGTCTTAGTCTTCATATTAAGGGGTTCACATAATGTGGAGTCATTTTGTGTGTGTATGTGTTTGTGTGAGTGAGAGTGGCTATCTTGAGAAGAAGTGGATTTTGTATTTGTGTTGGAGTGTTGTACTAGTGTGGATTAAAGTGGTGAAATGCAAAGGATTTGTACCTTATTTTGGGTCATTTTTAAACATTATTTTACATTATTTATCTTATTCTTAATAATGTAGCATTTGTTTATAACTTAGCCTTTACTAAGTGAAATAAAATATATTTTTTTTGTGTATAATCATGATCTCCATGTGTAGCTAAGTATTCATTTATGAATATATGATTATTTTGAAAATATTTATTGTAGTGTATGTTTAATTTTATAGAACTCATACTATTTTTAATTTCTCTTTCAATTGGTTTATATATAGGTTGAGTATAAATTAAAAAGCTAATGTGATCTAAGCTTAGAAGGAGGAATAGAAGAACATTAGAGATTTTAAATCATGGTCCAGGCATAATATAGAGATATGGTGACTAGGATTAATGGGTCTTATGGAGATAAAAAAACTATAGATATGATGGATCATAGCTAATACTCCAATGAGCTCATTAGAGATAAGGAGTACTTACGCTCTGATCCACAACAGCAAAAGGAAGAAAACAACGCTAATGCAATAATGTATTTTTAAATATATGATAGGCTAAAAAATCTTAAATATAATAAATTTACTTTTCTACATTGAAAGATTTCTAACTTTATCTATAACACCTATTTAAATCATCAAGCTAGATAAATTTATAGTTTCGTAGGTAGTACTAAAGTGAACTTATGATTTTTCTTATTTTTTAACCAGTATATTACTTGACACAACATAAGCATTTTAAATAAGACTTACTCCACAAGAAAATTAAACTTTTTTTTAGATAACTCAATAGTGCGTATAAGCTAAAGAATAAAGCTCAGCATTTGCATAAGCTAATAGCAACAGTCCTTTCAAGTTATTAATGTTATTTTTGGGGACTGGAACTTTTGAAGTTATTATCGTCGTTTGCATTTTATATTATCGAACAACTTTCTCTTTTAATATAGTTTTCATTTTAAAGTTTACCTACTTAGTGTTATTTTGCTTACTGATTAATTGTTATTTGCTTAGTGTTTTACATGTTTTATTATTATTTTCTATTTCATGCATCTAACTAAATAATCAGAAGAACTTCTATTTGATACTAAGATTGAAATAGTTTAAGAAAAAAAAACTATAAAATTTTAAAAAGATTTAAAAATTGGTGAATAACGTCTATAAGGAATGATCATCCTAGACTTCTGATGAAATATGCCAACCCTATGATTAAAGGTATTCATCAAAGTATAAACAAACCTAGCATTTAAATTAATAATTTTTAGAACTTGTTATATTCTAAATGATGCAAAACCCTTACTTTGGGGAACCTCTAATAGAAGAGCCTAATTTAAAAACAACTAGTTTCCTAAAGATATGTGCAACATTTAAATATAATGGTGTTACTAATTATGTTGATAGACTATGATACTCTCCATTTCCAATTAGGAAGAAAGCTAAAATACTGTTTAATTCATAGCCCCTAAACTCAATTAAAACATGGAATTATCTTCCCCATAAATTTCTTGATAAATATTTTTATCATCTAAAACTTCTAAGTTTTGAAATGATATCACATATTTTATCCAAATAGATGGCTAATCTATTTATGAATTATGGGGATTATTTAAAGAACTTCTTAACAAATATCCTCATTATACCATCCTTGATTAGTTACTCATTCAAAACTTTTATAATGGCCTTATAGGTTATCTTAGATCAATCATTGATGTTGTTGCTGGTGATTCTCTACTGGTAAAGCCTTTTGATGAGGCAATTCTATGATTGAGGATATGACTACCATTAATTTTCTGTGGCCACTAGAAAGAATTAATATTAGAAATGTAGCTAGTGTTGATGAATCTAATGCTTTATCAATTTTAACTGCCAAAGTAGATCTCACATTTAGAAAATTAGACAACCTTTGAATTAATTCACCCTAGCATTCACATGTGACTATATATGGGAAAGCCATCTTTAAAGCTTCTAGCGATCTTAATGCTTCTGAAGCATAACTCATTAATGAATTTAATAAAATAACCTATAACCCTTTCTCAAATATACATAATCTAGGATAGAAAAAACATCCCAATTTAAATTAGAGTAATAATCTAAATATTAATACTAATTAGAACTTCGGCCTGCCATATGAAGTAAGAAACTAGAATCACCCTTCCTAAAATTTTGCAAACTCAAGGCCTCTTTGTCCCCTTAAATTTCACTCAAATAATCAACATAAGGATAAGTAACCTTCATTAAGGAATTAGTTTTAAAAATGGGTACACAATTATAGAGTCAAGCTAGTGTCATTAAAACTAATGAAACTTAATTAGAATAGCTAGTTGTATTTTTAACCAATAAATTCTAAGGAACTTTACCAAGTAATATAAAAATAAACCTAAAATAATTGGGTATGGTGCAATAAAAGGTGATCCAATGGAGGAATAGAAGGGAGCTTGAGAATAGGAATAGAAATAAAGATCAATATGAGGAAGTGGAATTTAAAGAAGGGTCAATAGAGATTCTACGACCTAAGGAACCACCTAATCCTGATAAAATAGTAAAAAAACCTATTAGAGAGGTTATTAAGAGGCACTATCTCCATTTTCCAAAAGATTTCTAAAGAAGAATTTGGATATGTAGTTCTAAAGATTTAAAAAAGTTAATTATTAACATTCCATTCGAAGAAGCAATTGCTAAATTCAAGAAAGACAACATGAGCAAGTAAATAAGATTAGAAGACTTTTAGGTTGTTGTAAAGTTTGTGAGGTTTGTGAAACCCTAAAGAACTAGTCCCTAGGCTAACCAAGAAGGGGGGTGAATTGGATACTTAAACAATCTTTAAAGAAAAGAAATATTTTTTATAACTTAATACATAAGCAAATTAAATTCATAATAAAAAGATAAATATCAATTTACAACCACACATATAATCATGTAAAAATAAAGTGTAAAAATAATAAAAGGAGTAAACACACCATAATTTATAATTATTTGGTCAACTAGACCTGCATCCACTCCTTGAAGACTCCCTCTCAAAGTATTGCACTAAATAGTAGAGACTCTCTTTTTGCTCCAACAACAAGGCGGAGAAGCCTGTATAGATACTATTTCACCTCCCTAGTATGGAAGTTAACCGTGACTCTTTTACAGGCAGAGAACCTAAACCCTATTTTTACACTCTTAGTGATGGTCAGAGAACCACAACTCTATTTTCACCCTCCTGGTAGTGTTTTGAGATCAATTTTCTATTTGTACACTATGATATACATATTATACGTTATGCGTAGTGTAATTTAGACTCATATAGCAAAATCATTCATATGAACTATTCAACTTTAATAACATATCGAACAGTACAATCAAAGCATCATCTAGTATAATTTGAATAAATTCCTTCTATTTGTTTGTGATGATCCTTGGGATGGCCAACATTGTATATGGGTGATCATCCGACACTACAAATATCATATGATATGATCAGTACATAAATCATGGATTTTGTTTGGTACGATCCATGGGATGACCAATTTTGTATACGGGTAATCATATAGAACAAACTATATCATACAATATGATAAATCATAATAATTATCCATAATTTGATTGCCAGATATCAAGTAATTAACTAGAATATTTTAATTAGGGTGTATAGTATAAAATGAATCATATTATATGATCACTACTAAATTAGTATCTTTCCTAACCTTTGGAGACTAGGGTTTGATAGAGCATAACATTTCATACAATACGAGTTAAACTTGCACAGTAGGAATTACTTCGTACAATACAAAACTGAGAATTTAAAATCATATAATACAAATTACTTAAAAAAAAATCTATTGAAAATATTTTTATCTCTCCCCTTGTGTGCGTGCAAGTTATTCAGCAATGATATCCTCCCAATTATTTGATATGACTCAAGAAAGGATAAAATATAGAATAAACTGAATTTTGACTTTAACCTTAGCCTACCAAATCTCGAGCTGATCAAAATTACAAGTGAATGGTGGAGTGATTTCTTGAAACATTAGTAGACATAAAATAAAATAAAATATCACAAAAATAGGATAAAGTAGTTACAAACACAATAATATTTGCTATCATCAAAATCACAATAATTGAAATAGGTTTGCAACAATCTCTAACTTTTTGGTGATGACAAATATTATTGTTTTTGAATTTTTTAAAAAGTTGCTTTCCTCTAAACTCCCTCTTAGTTGAAAAACAATTGAAAGAAAAAGAAGTGTAAAAGTTCTTTTTGTTTTTAAATAATATGCAAATAATAATAATAATAGTAACAATAAAATTAAATAATAATAACAATAACAAACAACAAAATACTACTCTCCCTTTCGACATCACAAAATAAGGAAAAGTAAAATGAAGAAAAAAATACAAGAAAATAGATACAAGAAATGCATAAAAAACATACTCAAAATGACTAATAATTCAAACTAAAGAAAGAAACATTACAGACAAGAGAACTTTTATGGGCATTTTCAGAATGAAATAAACTTACTCTATAAACAAAAAAGACAAATAAGATAAGTGTTGACTTTATTGCAACCAAAGAAACTAGATTCCTGAGTTTGCATACTCAGCTTAACATCTTCACAGGCTAAAATCTTTTATTAAAAAAAAATTAATTTAAGAATTATAATAAGATAAAGAAATTTAAACTTTTCAAATTGCTAGCCTAAAATATATCGAATACAATATTAATGTAAAATTGATGAATGAAGAACAAAGATTTTCTAAAATCAAGAATAATACATTATTAAATACAACAATTTTCTAAGATTTAAATATTTTCTAGAAAGAGAAGCTAATTTAAGTTGAGCTCATTTTGTACCACTTTTATTAGCTTTTGATGTGCATTTCACATCTTTTATTTTTTATTCACTTAGTACATCTTTTTATTTTTTTGGCGTCATTATACACCTTTTAATTTTGGGCTCATTTTGTGCATCTTTTGATTTTTTTTGCAAATGACTTCTTTTCTAAATCTTTAAGAATCTCAGTTATAAAGATTATCTTCTAAATAGAAGAAAAGAGTAACTCACTCTTTTATATAGATAGGAATAATCTATGAAGCAAATATGATATTTCTAATAGGAATAAAAATCCTAATTTATGAAAAATAATGAATTTTGTTTATTAAATTATAGAAAATATTCTTTATATAAAATTGTAGTGGAATGATAGTAATTTCATTTCAACTGTCTCAGCTCCAATTCATTATAAATTTCAAGTTCATACAGGGAATTATTACGCAAAGGAAATAAGAAGGTAAATAAAAATTCCTAAGATTTGTTTATCCTTTGAGTTTTAACAATTCCAACAATTACTTATTAAAATTTTAAGTTAGAATAGAAGTATGTATATTAAAAATAGCAAAGAGCATTATCAAAAGTTCTTTCATACAGTACGATCCAATTTGTATAGTATAAGTCCCATCGTATAGTATGATTCAAATCATATACTACGATCAACATAAACATATTTTTTTTTAACACTGTAGATTTCTCAAGTAAAAACACACAAAAGAGATCTAAGAGCACAGAGCCAACTAGAGAGAAAAAATATACCAATTGAAAGAGAAGAAATAAATATAAAGTAATTTTTTTTTAATTTAAAAGGATTATAACATAAGAGGCACTGAAAGAAAAAATTTAATACAAACACAAAATAATAAAGTACCAAAGAAAATATAGACACAAAAAGAATAGTACAATACGAACAAACTAGTATAGAGGTGGATCCTGATTAGAAGGTGGTTGTGGAGGTGGTTGGAAGAATTGGTTAAAGCTATCATAATATTGCTGGATGAAGGTGAACTGCTGTTGAATGTTTCCAAATTGCTCCATGAGCCAACCCATATCATTATCATGTTGGGTTTCTTATTGATCCAAATAAGTCTCAAGTCAGTCAAATTATTGAAAAAAATCCTCATATTTGTAGTAACGAGGAGATGGTCAAGGTCTAGGATAACCTATAGGGGAAGGTTTCTTCTCTTCATCAATGAGCAGGTCTTCTGGTTCTTGAAAAGAGCATTTGAAAGAAGCATTCAAAAAGAAGAATAGAGTGTGGTTAGGAGGAGCAGGATATGTGATATTATATTTTTTTTATTAAAGATATACTCAATCATATGTCCAAGAGTGAGGTTTTTCTTTCTCCTAGTGGCTAGGAGTTGAATGGAAGTGAGATTTTGGATGAAATCAATTATCATTTTAGCTTCATCCATTTGGGTGTTTAACATTATGAAGTAGGTGATAATTGACAGTAGGGGAGTCATGTTTATCAAGTCTCCAACTTTAGGGATGATATATGTTCTCAAAACATGCTTGATAACCCTGACATTTTTATTTAGAATGTGTATCAAGGGTTGATGGTAGTTTAAGGAAGCATTTTGAAGTAAGAGTTTCAAAACCCTCCAATTAAAGCCCGATTTGGAGGCCATGAAAAGGGGTTTATTTACTTGGGTGTTTAGTTGAAGATGGTCTCCAATATCCTCTTTGGTGAATTCGACATTCTGACAAAATATACGGGAAATCATTACAGTAGCATCCCCACAAATCCTAAGATTTGCTAGAAACTCAAAAATGATTTTAGTGTGGAAGAGATAGGCCAAAGTCAGAAGAAAATGACAAACGGTGGAATT